CGCTCCATTCTCTCTACATGTCCGAACCACCTCAACAACCCTTCCTCAGCCCTCTGGACAACAGTTTTGGTAATCCCGCACCTCCTCCTAACTTCCAAACTACGAATTCTCTGCATTATATTCACACCACACATTGCCCTCAGACATGACATCTCCACTGCCTCCAGCCTTCTCCTCGCTGCAACATTCATCACCCACGCTTCACACCCATATAAGAGCGTTGGTAAAACTATACTCTCATACATTCCCCTCTTTGCCTCCAAGGACAAAGTTCTTTGTCTCCAAAGACTCCTAAGTGCACCACTCACTCTTTTTCCCTCATCAATTCTACGATTCACCTCATCTTTCACAGACCCATCCGCTGACACGTCCACTCCCAAATATCTGAATACGTTCACCTCCTCCATACTCTCTCCCTCCAATCTGATATTCAATCTTTCATCACCTAATCTTTTTGTTATCCTCATAACCTTACTCTTTCCTGTATTCACCTTTAATTTTCTTCTTTTGCACACCCTACCAAATTCATCCACCAATCTCTGTAGCTTCTCTTCAGAATCTCACAAGAGCACAGTGTCATCAGCAAAGAGCAGCTGTGACAACTCCCACTTTGTGTGTGATTCTTTATCTTTTAACTCCACGCCTCTTGCCAAGACCCTCGCATTTACTTCTCTTACAACCCCATCTATAAATATATTAAACAACCACGGTGACATCACACATCCTTGTCTAAGGCCTACTTTTACTGGGAAAAAATTTCCCTCTTTCCTACATACTCTAACTTGAGCCTCACTATCCTCGTTTAAAAAACTCTTCACTGCTTTCAGTAACCTACCTCCTACACCTTTACACTTGCAACATCTGCCACATTGCCCCCCTATCCACCCTGTCATACGCCTTTTCCAAATCCATAAATGCCACAAAGACCTCTTTAGCCTTATCTAAATACTGTTCACTTATATGTTTCACTGTAAACACCTGGTCCACACACCCCCTACCTTTCCTAAAGCCTCCTTGTTCATCTGCTATCCTATTCTCCGTCTTACTCTTAATTCTTTCAATTATAACTCTACCATACACTTTACCAGGTACACTCAACAGACTTATCCCCCTATATTTTTGCACTCTCTTTTATCCCCTTTGCCTTTATACAAAGGAACTATGCATGCTCTCTGCCAATCCCTAGGTACCTTACCCCCTTCCATACATTTATTAAATAATTGCACCAACCACTCCAAAACTATATCCCCACCTGCTTTTAAACATTTCTAAACTTTATCCCATCAATCCCGGCTGCCTTACCCCCTTTCATTTTACCTACTGCCTCACGAACTTCCCCACACTCACAACTGGCTCTTCCTCACTCCTACAAGATGTTATTCCTCCTTGCCCTATACACGAAATCACAGCTTCCCTATCTTCATCAACATTTAACAATTCCTCAAAATATTCCCTCCATCTTCCCAATACCTCTAACTCTCCATTTAATAACTCTCCTCTCCTATTTTTAACTGACAAATCCATTTGTTCTCTAGGCTTTCTTAACTTGTTAATCTCACTCCAAAACTTTTTCTTATTTTCAACAAAATTTGTTGATAACATCTCACCCACTCTCTCATTTGCTCTCTTTTTACATTGCTTCACCACTCTCTTAACCTCTCTTTTTCTCCATATACTCTTCCCTCCTTGCATCACTTCTACTTTGTAAAAACTTCTCATATGCTAACTTATCACATAAAAAAATTATCACATAAAAATATATAAAAAAAATATATAAATTAAAATAAAAACGAGAAAAAAAGATATATCGGCAACACTTCTGCAAGTGGCAGGAGTCAATGTTGCCATCAGGCAAGTATCCAGAGCCAACTTCACAGTCTTATATCTCAGTAAGTGCTGACCCTAAAATTTTTTTCTTAATCCTATAACATGTAGAAAAATGTGCTCATTAAAAAATAAAAATAATTTTTTTATTTTTCAAAATATTCGGAGTGCCACGCAAGTGAACGTAGATCTACGTTTGGACAGCTTAAGGGTTAAGTGTGACTGTAAAATAAGCTACCATGGTGGTGGTGGGTGGTGGTGGTGGTGGTGGTGGTGATGGTGATGGTGATGGTGGATGGTGCCTTCTTCAGAGATTAAGGAGATTTGTGCAATGTGCAATAGGGTGCAGGCATTTGCTGAAAAATATCACCCTGAGGAAGCTGAAACAAGCCGTCTCTGCAACAAGTTTAGTGACAGAACCATGTCCCATTTTAGGGAAATCTTAAAGAAGGGAAGTAACCCCAGATAAGGACTTATTACCTAAAGTCTTTATGAAAGGGGATTCCCCTTCCAAACATTAAGTGCTCCCTCACTACTCCTCCCTATCTTCCAGATGCCATCAACAATCTTCAATAAAGATGAGTAAAAATGTTATTTTATATGCTTATTTAAATGTTTATTATCTATTACTAATTATACTATGTATGTTTGTTGTGTGTATGTAAAACTATAATTTTTTTTTTTTTTTTTTTCAACAAGTCGGTCGTCTCCCACCGAGGCAGGGTGACCCAAAAAAGAAAGAAAATCCCCAAAAAGAAAATACTTTCATCATCATTCAACACTTTCACCACACTCACACATTATCACTGCTTTTGCAGAGGTGCTCAGGATACAACAGTTTAGAAGCATATACGTATAAAGATACACAACATATCCCTCCAAACTGCCAATATCCCAACCCCCTCCTTTAAAGTGCAGGCATTGTACTTCCCATTTCCAGGACTCAAGTCCGACTATAAGAAAATAACCGGTTTCCCTGAATCTCTTCACTAAATATTACCCTGCTCACACTCCAACAGATCGTCAGGTCCCAAGTATCATTCGTCTCCATTCACTCCTATCTAACACGCTCATGCACGCTTGCTGGAAGTCCAAGCCCCTCGCCCACAAAACCTCCTTTACCCCCTCTTTCCAACCCTTTCGAGGACGACCCCTACCCCTCTTTCCTTCCCCTATAGATTTATATGCTTTCCATGTCATTCTACTTTGATCCATTCTCTCTAAATGACCAAACCACCTCAACAACCCCTCTTGTGCCCTCTGACTAATGCTTTTATTAACTCCACACCTTCTCCTAATTTCCACACTCCGAATTTTCTGCATAATATTTACACCACACATTGCCCTTAGACAGGACATCTCCACTGCCTCCAACCGTCTCCTCGCTGCTGCATTTACCACCCAAGCTTCACATCCATATAAGAGTGTTGGTACTACTATACTTTCATACATTCCCTTCTTTGCCTCCATAGATAACGTTTTTTGACTCCACATATACCTCAATGCACCACTCACCTTTTTTCCCTCATCAATTCTATGATTAACCTCATCCTTCGTAAATCCATCCGCCGACACATCAACTCCCAAGTATCTGAAAACATTCACTTCTTCCATACTCCTCCTCCCCAATTTGATATCCAATTTTTCTTTATCTAAATCATTTGATATCCTCATCACCTTACTCTTTTCTATGTTCACTTTCAACTTTCTACCTTTACACACATTCTCAAACTCATCCACTAACCTTTGCAATTTTTCTTTAGAATCTCCCATAAGTACAATATCTCTATAAAATGTATTTTTTTGTGAATATTTTTGGGTTTCCGGAACGGATTAAATGTATTTACATTATTTCTTAGGGGAAATATTGCTTTGAGTTTCGAACGTTTCGACTTTAGAACGGTTTAAGTTCGAAACTCGGGGTACCACTGCATTTTGTGATCATCTTTAATACAGTGGAACCCTTGATTTTGTTTGGTGTGGATATCGTACAATTCAAATTTTGAACACTTTTTTGGGCAAAATTTTACCCTGGGTTTTGTATCTCCACTCGGAAATCATCCGTACCAGACATGTCCGCCCGCCCCGGACACGGCTGCTCACACATACATGACTCAGTCTGCCTCTGTTACTTGTTCAGTGAGCATGGTAGGTGGTAGTGATGGTGGTGGAGGGTGGTAGTGGTTGTGATGGTACTAGATGGCGGTAGTGGTAGTGATGGGGGTAGAGGGTGGTAGTGATGGGGGTAGAGGGTGGTAGTGATGGGGGTAGAGGATGGTAGTGATGGGTAGAGGGTGGTAGTGATGGGGGTAGAGGGTGGTAGTGATGGGGGTAGAGGGTGGTAGTGATGGGGGTAGAGGGTGGTAGAGATAACCTCTTCTCCCTCTCCCCTTCTTCCCATCTTCCATATGCCAACAAGTCTTCAATAAAGGTAATAGTGATTTAAATGTTCATTTATCCATTTCATTAGTGCTTTAGATTTATTTCTCATTGTTTTCTATATGTAAAACTATAGTTATTCTCTATAAAATGAAGTTTTTGTTAATATTTTTGGGTGTCTCGAACAGATTAATTGGATTTACATTATTTCTTATGGGAAATATTACTTCGGTTTTCATCCATTTTGAATTTTGACTGACCTTCTGAAATGGATTAAGGACAAAAACTGGGGTTCCACTGTATAATGCATTTCCATCCATATATTAAAAGTCTGTTTTTATATTCTAATTTTTCCTATCTGTTTATTTGTTTATCCTATCTAAAATATGCTTATTAAGCATTTCATTTTCAGTACAACATGGTCACTCTCTCCAAATACATACACTTGGATAATTTATATTGAGAATTTCTTTCTTTGTTTTTCAGTGAACCCTAGGTCTAGTATTGATGGTGTATTGCCTTCTCATTCACATCACTGAGGCATAAAGAACTCCATCATTACACTGAGCACTTTGGGCGATTCTTTACTATTTAAGATTCAAACTAGCAAGAGCTAGTTCATCTGAATGTGCAGGAAAGTTCTCAATGTGGAAGAGGAATTACATTGCAAACCATCTAATTTCAGATATTCTTCCACTCCAGGGATGTAGTTGTAGATGGTAAGAATGATTATGGTACAGTGGAAATTAAAACTTTCATTAAAGTCAGTTAATTTTTAAATAATAATTAACTCTTACCTTCAGCACATGGAAATTGTTACATTAATGCCAAGGTTCCCATTATCTGCAAATAATTGGGCAATAGATGTATCAAACACTAGGCAATCTGAATTCATGATTGCTGACTGGACACCCTCATGTATGGATCGTGGAGTGGCTTCCCAGGTTAGTCTTCGCCGAGGACCATTTAGTTCTAATCTGCAAATGAGAATAAAATCTTCTCAATCTTACAATCTAAGTAAGCGAAATCTGTAGGCTGCCATATTTTTCCAAGAAAAAATATTTTAACTTATTTATATCTTAACAGCATGCCTTTAAATCTTTTATCATATTTAGTTGTAAATAAAAGCATTTAATAATATACACACACTATTCTGAAAAACATTAAATCATACAAGTAATAAGTAAGTACAGATACTATACAAAAGGGAACAAATGGATATGGCAGTTAAATAGGGAGGTGAAGGTACTGTAAAGATGGACAGAATACTTCATGGAGCTGTTAGATGCTGATGAAGGGGAGGCACTGATATCATGCATTGGGCATGGAGGAATAAATTCTAGTAGGAGAAAGAAGAGCTAGAGGCGAATGTGGGAAAAGTACAGTAGGCAGTGGAAATATAAACACACATGCAGTATAATATGATCCTTTATTGATAATGTTTCGCCCACACAGTGGGCTTTTTCAAGTCACAAACAGATCTACCTGGGTGGAAGGTACGCAAGTATTTATAGTCAGGTTCAGAATGCTGCGTCAGGTGGAGAATGCTGCATCTGATGATCTACCAAGTGGGGTTATAGAGTCTAAAATCTTGGGTAGCTTAGAAGGGAGATTGGATAAGTTTGTGAGCAGACTTTCTGCAGTGTTCCTCCATGCCTATGTTCTTATGTGGGATAGCGATGAAGAAGTTTCTTGGCAAGTAGTTCAGCTATGTTATAGAAGCCATTGTTCTGGTTGAAGTTGTTGGATATAGAGATATGCGATGATTCCAGGATTCTTCGGTACCGAATGTTGTCTTCTCTGGCGATAAGTCTCGAGTTTCTGTAGTTTATTAAATGGTTGTGTGAATTACGGTGTTGTACACAGTCATTTCTTGTATCGTCAGACCTGCTTGCGTATTGGCGTTCTGAAATACGTGTTTGGAGGTCTCTTGATGTTTCGCCCACATATAATTTGCTGCCGTCATTACAAGGGATTATGTATACAGTGGACCCCCGGTATTCGATGGCATCGGTATTCGATAAATGCGGTTTTCGATGCATTTTAACGCAAAAATTTTTCCTCGGTATTCGATTGAAAACCCGGTATTCGATACGATTCGTACGAGACCTGTCCACATGTGGCCTGAACTACTCTGTGTGTGCTAGTGTTTACAAGCCAGCCAGTGTGCGCACATCTAAGGATACATTCGGTACATTCCATATTATCCATATTATCACTGTGTTTGGTGCTTGTTTCTACAAAATAAGTCACCATGGGCCCCAAGAAAGCTTCTAGTGCCAACCCTTCGAGAAAAAAGTCACTAATGACTTATGAAATGAAGAAAGAGATAATTGCAAAGTACGAAAGTGGAGTGCGTGTGTCAGGTTGTATAATAAACCCCAATCAACCATCTCTACTATAGTGACCAGGAAAACGGCAATCAAGGAAGCTGTTCTTGCAAAAGGTGCAACTGTGATTACGAAACAGCGACCTCAAGTGTTAGAAAATGTTGAGAGATTGTTACTGGTGTGGATAAATGAAAAACAAATAGCAGGAGATAGCATCTCTCAAGCGATCATTTGTGAAAAGGCTAGGCAGTTGCATGATGATTTGGTAAAGAAATTGCCTGCAACTAGTGGTGATGCGAGTGAATTTAAGGCCAGCAAAGGTTGGTTTGAAAGATTTAAGAATCGTAGTGGCATACATAGTGTGATTAGGCATGGTGAGGCTGCCAGTTATGTTGTGCGACAGAAGTCCAGTGACTCTCAAGCTGGTCCTAGTGGCATTAAAAGAAGGGAAGTAACCCCGGAAAAGGACTTGCTACCTCAAGTCCTAATGGAAGGGGATTCCCCTTTGAAACACTAACACCTCTCCCCTCCTCCCATCCCATCAATCATCACCAGATCTTCATTAAAGGTAAGTGTCAATTATTTTATTGTTATTGTAATTATTCTACTGCATTAAACTTAATATTTCATGTAATAAAAAATTTTTTTTTCATACTTTTGGGTGTCTTGCACGGATTAATTTGATTTCCATTATTTCTTATGAGGAAAATTGATTCGGTTTTCAATATTATCGGTATTCAATGAGCTCTCAGGAACGGATTAATATCGAATACCCCTGCAGAGGATGGAAGCTTGTCCTGTCTATTACTGGTAATGTCCTTGATGGTTGTGGTTGTGTTTGGCAATGGAGTTATTGGGGAGGACTATATATCTTTTCTCGGCAGTGTCTTCTCTGGGTGTGTTGAAGATGTTTAATGCCCTTCGTCTGCAGTCTCTGATGAAGTGATGAGGATAGTGAAGTTTGGAAAATACTTGTTCAATTACAGTGCATTCTTCCTCAAGGAAGAATGCACTAAAATTGTAATGACTGCAAGAAATTATATGTGAGTGAAACATCAGGAGACCTCCAAACACGTATTTCAGAACACCAATACGCAAACAGGTCTGACGATACAAGAAATGCCCGTGTACAAAACTGTAATTCACACAACCATTTAATAAACTACAGAAACTCAAGACTTATCGCCAGAGAAGACAACACTAAGTACTGAAGAATCCTGGAATCATCGCTTGTCTCTATATCCGACAACTTCGACCAGAACAATGGCTTCTATAACATAGCTGAACCACTTGCCAAGAAACTTCTTCATCGCTATCCCACATAAGAACATAGGAATGGAGGAACGCTAAAGAAGGTCTGCTCACAAACTTATCCAATCTCCCTTCCAAGCTATCCAAGATTTTAGACTCTATAGCCCCACTTGGTAGATCATCAGATGCAGCATTCTCCACCTGACCCAGCATTCTGAACCCGACTATAAATACTCGAGTACCTTCCACCCAGGTAGATCTGTTTGTGGCTTGAAAAAGTCCAGTGTGTGGGCAAAACCTGTCAATAAAGGATCACATTATACTGTATGTGTGTTTATATTTCCACTGTGTTGGTATTTTATACCATTTATTTCCACAGTAGGCAGTGGGTAGAATGAAAGGAGGTAAAGTAGCTGGGATAGATGGGATTAATACAGACACGTCTGAGTGATATGGTGGATTTATTTAGTGTATGCACAAAAGAAAAAAGGTATCTAAGCATAGGCAGCAAGCATGCGTAGTTTCTTTGTACAAGGAAAAAGGAGACAAGAGTGAGTGTAAGAATTACAGTGGTACTAACACTTTTATATGTTTTAGCATAAATTTGGAATGCTGCAGCATGGAGGAGGCTTGAGGTTGCAGTGATGTTACATTTGAGAGCAGTGTGAATGTAAAGCAAAGAAGCTAGAGTGTAGAAATTAAAAGGTGATGTGGGGTTACCAAGGGTATAATTTAGAGGGCTGAAGTGGTTTAGGCATATAGAAAGAATGGAGAAATTTTGAGTGGTTGGGATTTAAGCTTCCATCAGGCTTGTGTCATTGTCAGATTAGACTGGAGACAAGTGATTTTTCATGGTTTGATTTTCTATTACAGTGTGAGTAAGTTAACATTTATGTGATTCAGGAAACTAGCTAGCTAGACCCGAGTCTGGGAGTAGGGATATCGTAATTCAGAGGGCCATTTGATCTGTGATGTTTGAACACTTCTGACATGACAGCTATTGAAAGAATGATGAGTTTTTTTTTCTCTGAGGGTACAAGAGAGGGAGGAACAATGTAACCCTATCATGGTGGGAGATGGCCAGTGTTAAGAAAAAATAAATCCCTGCTTAGTGACCTTTTACAGTGGCTCTCTTTGTAAACTTCCAAAATATAAAAACAAAACTTTCATACAAAGCATTCAATGTATTTTACATAATTCAGCTAATAAAAAGTCCTAATAAAAATCGGTCCTGATTACATTGATCAAAACGAGATTTTTGAAAATGCTGGACTATTATAACCAATGCAATTCAGTGCTTGTTATTAAAAGGGTGCTTACCAGAGTAAGAAATATGAAAGGAAATGTAGAATAAACCTAAATTAAAGCAGGGATGATATAGGCACAATTACAGAATGCTGTGGTGACAGTGGTCCAAAATCATTCTACCTGCTACGGTTTACCAATGAAAGCCTGGAATGTGATTCCTCGGATAACTGGAAACTTCGTTTTAATATTTGCAAAAATGATAAATTGCTATAGAGGTAAACCAAAGTCTGAAGCTACAAAATACAATAATCAACTCTAAATTTACTTAAATATACAGTGGAACCTCAAATGTTGAAATTAATTCATTCCAGATGTCGATTCGATAACCAAAGCAATTTTTCCCATAAAGAATAAGGTAAACAGAATTGATCTGTTACAGACAATATAATAATTTATTAAAAGTGTACTGACTACTACATAAAACTGTAAAAATGAATACTAAAAGAAACTAACTGAAATACTGTACAGTAAATAAAAATTTAACTGCCTCTTCTTACCCGTCAGAGGAGAGCTAATGGCATACTGGATGCAGGAGGTGGAGGAGAGGAGGGGGTATGTTACTGCTTGGAAGGAGAGTCACCTTCTATTAGTATGTCAGGCAACTGTCCTTTTGGTGTTGTATCTCTTCTTTGTCCCTTTTCACCACTAACACCTTGTTCTGGCTCACTGGTTCTTTGTCTCACTAAAAGCCTGTATATTGAGGTTTGTTTCAGGCTCCATTTTAACACTTGTCTAAACTGAGACACTACACTGGCATTGTACATGTTAGAGACAAAGACCTTCAAAGTGGCCAGTGCAAAACTCCGCACTTCAAAATTAGCCCCTGGCCGTCCCAATCCCAAAATTTCTTCCTACCAAAGCAGGGCCGAAAAAACCCCTTTCCCATTTTCTACACCTCAAATAGTTAAACTGCTCAAGCCTCAAGGTAATCCCAAAATTTTTAAAAACCCCTCAATTCCTTTTTTTGGGCCCCAGTCCTTCCCCAGGCGTTTACTCTTGTCCGTGCATTTCTGTGCATTTCCTAAAGTTCACGGGTACAACCCCAGCTCGGAAAGCATTTGGTTAACCGAATTCTCCAAACTAGGTTTCATTTATTCACCCACAATTGCCAACATCTCTTCCCTTTAATTCTCCAGGTAACCATTCATTTAATTAAAAAGACCTTTAAAATCCATATTAACATACTTTCTAGAAAAAGTTGTTAAGATTCCCCAATGCTCCCATATTTTTTTTTAATCCATTTTGAAAATTTTTTTTTTACATGCCCTCCCTCCACGTTACCCAAAAAGAAAGTCCCCCCCTACAAAAAAAAAAAAATTTCTTTCATCACCTAACTTTACCTCATAATACTTATTGTTTTCAAAGTCCTTGAACAATAAAAATTTAAAAAAATCCCTCCAAACTCCCTTCCCAAACTCCCCAAAAATTTTCAAAGAGCACTGGAAATATTTTTTTGATTTTTTACCCCAGGCTTGAAAATAAAAAAACTCAAAACCCTCTATAAAAAAATTTTTTTAAAACATCGTCACAAAAATCCCCAGGCGACTCAATTGGTAAAAAACCCCTTTTTAAAATTTTTATAGCTTAATAAATACCTTGAAAAAAATATGCCCAGGAACCCAACCTCTAAAACCACAACTCTAAAAATACTGATGACTAACCTGTATGCAAAATTTTCAGCCTGTTTTCTTGAGCCTATGAGTTGTACAATGGCAAAAAACTGTTGATGACCATCATATTTTTCTTGCTTCTCTAATACAAGCATGAAATGGTGGCCAAAGCAGCTCTGCATCATAACCCAATCTACTGCTCCTGGTAAATTGATATCTGTTGCCAAGAACACAATGTCTTCAC